TTTATCAAAATTTAAAAAATTTTTGTGCTCGATTCAGCAGCACATATAATTTTTAAAAAATTGGAATGATACAGAGAAGATTAGCATGGCCCCTGCGCAAGGATGACACACAAATTTGTGAAGCGTTCCATATATAAAAAAAAATTAAAAACTTTTGTGCATCAAAGGACACTATCAAGAGAGTGAAAAGATTGCCCTGGCCAGTCTGGCTCAGCAGTTACAGTGTTGGCCCTCGGACCAAAGAGCCATAGGTTTGATTCTGGCCAAGGGCACAAACCTTGGTTACTGTCCAGTCCCTGGCCCTGGTTGGGGTCATGTGGGAGGCAACCAATCGATGTGTCTCTCTCATATCAATGTTTCTCTCTCTCTCTCTCTCTGTCTAAAAAAATCAATGAAAACATTTATTTTTGAAAAGGGTGAATACTATGGTATGCGGATTATATCTAAATAGCAGCAATTCTGTCCTGGTCTTGCCAAATATTACGCTTCACTGTGTCTGCAATGGCTCCGCTGCCCTCCGAGATCTGGCCCTGGGTCCAGCCTCCTCTCCCGCACTGCTCCTGTAGGCTGCCCCGCTCCCCGCCTCCTCTTTGTTCTCCTGCTCCCTGCCTCCCTGCATCTCTCTGCACCTGAATCCTCTCCCCAGGGCTGCAAACCAGTGGAGATACATTCCATCTATAGTCACAAAGAGTCTGCAGATGGATTCACAGTGGGAGTTCTTGCTTTTGTTTTTTAGCTGAACTAGTTACCATGAGGAGACACTTCTCTCTCTCTCTCTCTCTCTCTCTCTCTCTCTCTCACACACACACACACACACACACACTCTGGCTATGGCAGCTGGCTGCCTACCCAGAGCCACGCTTTCCTTCTTTCCTGGGAGAGGAAGCTGGGTTCTGTTCTGGTTTCTGCTCAGGAGAAACTGGTCCACTCCAGCGGAAGAGCCACGACATCCCACTTAGCCTGTGGGGCTGGCTGGGCTGGCTGCTGGGGCCAGAGCTCTCGGCCACCGCACTGCTGTGGGAGCGGAACAGCGCGTACACCGCAGGAGCCAGTCACTGGGAAGCTCCAGGCCCCGCCGCACGGCCGCCGAGCCTGTTCTAGGGCAGGTAAGGAAGCCACGGCTCGGCCAGCAGGCATTTGTCCGGGAACATTTCTGGAAGCTACCCTAAACAGATCCAGGAGAAAGAGACCTGAACCTCCAAAGGCCCAGCATTTTGGTCCATGATGTCTTTACTCATTCTAAATAAATGGTTCCTTTTTTTTTTTTTAATCCTCACCCGAGGACTTTTTTTTTTAAATCCTCAGACAGAACAGGAGGGAGAGAGGGAAGAAAAGAGAGAGAGAAACATCAAGTGGCTGCCACCCACACAACCCCAACTGGGGCCGGGGACAAACTGCAACCAACGCACGTGCCCTTAGCAGGAACCGAACCCGGGACTCTCTGGTCCGCAGGCCAACGCTCCAACCGCTAAGCCAAACTAGCCAAGGCTAAATGTTCACTTTCATACTTACTTTTCCATGTAGTGAATTAGATAGTCCAGATATTAGAGTTAAGACAAAGGTTTTAAAGCAGCTATTATAACGATGCTAAAGGCGGTCAATGAGAATATGCTCATATTGAATGAACAAATAAAACATCCCAGTAGAGAAATAGAAACTATAAAAAAAATAATAAAGAACTAAATGGAAATTCCAAAACTAAAAATTCAAATATTTGAAAGGAGGCTGGAGAAGTGAGTGCCCTGGATTCTACCTTGGAGAAATAAAATTCATGGAGCCGAAAACTCTTCAGCCATAGCCAGGGGTTCAACGGGCACCGACAGTCAGAAAACAGGGGAAATGTCCTCTGAAGACCACGGTCCAGGTCTGTTTAATGAAACAAAATGCAAAGACTGTCCTGCCTTGAACACTGTTGTCTCACGAGAACATGCTGATGGCTGGAGCCACGCAGCCAGTGTGGTTCCGCAGCCTGGGGGGCGTAGTGAGAAGGCAGACGCCTGAGCTGGCCAGGCTCTGACACTGTGGACCTGCTGGACACACGCCGGGGCCACGGCCTCTGGAGTTTTGTCATGTGAGATAATAAACTTCTCTCACCTGGGTATGTGTTACTTATAAAGTCCTTCCGAACAAAAACACGGCTCCTCTTAAAAATGGAGAGAGATCTGGCAGCACCAGTCCTGCGGGCCCCTTGGAGACGGCGGGAGCTCCAGTCACCCTCTCACTCGGTCCCCTCTGGCAGCTGAGTGTGCAGTCCCTGCCCTCTGCACCACTGGAGATGGATCACTGGCCCCTATTCTACAAATCACTTCCCAACTCCTGCCTTCCTCACCCCAGCTCCACCAGCTAGAAGCAGCCGCCCTCCCTGGGAGTCGCACGGCTTCATCATGCCTCCCTTCTCTCTTGCTGTGACTGCGCGGTCCCTTCCCACTTGGCAGCAGCCTCCTGAGGGCAGGAGTCCTGCCTCACGCATTCCTGACTCTCCCTCTGCCACGGCATCAGCGAGGCGCTAGAACACCAGGAGCCTCCGTGCATGTTTGCTGAATAAGCACTCCCTATGACGAAGACCGGCAGTGTGCAGGATACCCCGTCCTCCCAAGGAGCTCTCCACGGGTTTATGTGTGTCTCTCAAGCCAGCAAAACCATTCCCACCACACTCAATACTCTGGGAAACCTGGGCTGCTCAGTCCTCAGCCCTGCTCACTTGGAGTACACCTGAAACACTCAGCTCAGAAGTTGGGGTCTCACACCCTGCCAGAGACCCTGGGCCACCTCAGCAACCCCCTGCTCAGGAAGTGTGGTGGGACAAGCGTGGTCTGGGAAGGACTGCTGGTCACCACAAACTCCAGGAAAGGACAGAAATACACACACACACAATCTTCCCAGTTTATAAAAGAGAAAGGTTAGGCAATTTGAAAACACACACAAGAATCACAGACCCAAACGGGAGGGATGGCAGCCCCCTGGTTCTTCCCAGGGACACTCAAGTCGCTGACAAATCCCAACGTGTACGGCTTCTGTCTGCATCGGTCCCGGATCTAATGGACCCACAAACCCTTCCTGAACTGGCAGCTGACTTTCCGCTCCAGCTTTTGGTAGATTCTCTCCTGGCACCTGGCTCTAGGCTTTGGACTTGGCTGTTTCGTTTTGTTTGTTTTTTAAATTATGGTAAAAGCACACAACATACATCTCGCCATCTTAGCCGCCTGTAAGTGTGCAGGTAGTAAGGTCAGTACGGTCAAGCAGGCGGTGGTGCAGTCACCGCCATCACCCATCTCCAGAACTCCCGCCTCCCAAACTGACACGGTGCCCCTGGAACACTGACGCCCCACTCCCGCCTCCCCTTCCCTGGCACCCACCATCTACTTTCTGTCCCTGTAATTCTGACTACTTTCGGGACCTCATATAAAAGGAACCACAGTACTTGTCCTTTGTGTATGGCTGATCTCGCTCAGCATGACGCCCTCAAGGTTCACCCACTCTGTGGCCATGCCAGTCTCCTTCCTCTTTAAGGCTGGCGTGTCCCACTGCACAGACATACACACCTCATTATCCATCCATCTGCCAGTGGACACGGGCTGCTCCCACTGCTTGGCTGTTGTGAGTAATGCTGCTGTGAACATGGGGGTACAGATATCTGTTCAAGTCCCTGCTTAGAGTTCTTTGTGGACCTGCCTTTGACTTTCTCTGAATCAGTCAAGATTCCCCTTGAGCCTGGAATTCCAGGCCAGTCGATTCCAGCGGGAGGCAGACAGACCCCAGGACGGGCTCTGTGTGGTGCATGAAAAATGCTCTGGAGTCCAGGAAGCACATCTGAGCCCACTGGGAACTCAGGAACCGGTTCTTGGGCCCTCCCGATGGAGGGCGAATCAAGGACAATGTGGCAAGAAGCAAAGAAGAGTGGGCCATCCCTCTGCCCCTCCAGGAGGAGACACATACCACTGCCTGGAGGAGAGCAGGACAAGGAAGGCCTCTGTTCCCCGAAGGGCAGGCATGCTGCAGAGGCTCCAGAAAGGGCAGCCTGGGCTGCAGGGGCAGAGGTTATGAAAAGAGAGAGGATGCTGAGACTGGCACTATTCAGAAAACCTCAGAGGGGTCCCACGGGTGGTGGGGGGGGGCAGGAGTCTGGAATGCTCTAATTTGACAGCTGGCCCTCAGCTCAGCCAACTCCTGAAGCAGGGGAGGCACAAAAGCAGAAAGTCAAAGGGCTGGTGGGGCGTTAATGGTGCGTCGTGGGCCTCGAACCTCGGCCTTCAGAGCTCTGCCTTCCGTGTTTCAGTGGAAGGCGGGCAGCCTGGCTATGAGCAGAGGCGGGGTCCAGACACCCGCGAGTCCTCACTGTCTGCTATAAGCAACTTTCAACTGGTTACATGATATTTTGGGGGGACCAAAGTGTCTGGGTTCAGGTACGAAATGATAACTGCCTGGGAAGGGTGCAGCCACTAGAGGGAAAATCAATCACTTCCGTGAACTCTGAACTTCCAGAAGCACAAAGACGACTTCGATGCCCCTGTGAAATGTCAGGGTTAAGATGCAGACATGAGGCTCTCACTCCAGCCCAGACCACACGCAGGGCTCCGCTGAGGAGCCAAGGCAGGCTGCTGGTGGGGGCACAGCGTCAGGCCCCCCTGGTTCACTCCAACCCAAGGAGCTTTCCTGATCTGAATTAGATGTTCAGAAAGAACTGTCCCCTTAAATCCAGAGAACTGGCCTTCTGGACATTTCCGGGATCCCAAGAGTCTATGAGGTCAGCCTGGACTTGGCCACGGGGACGGACCTCTGAGGCCAGATCAAGGTGCTATGCAGCCTGTTGGCTCAGCTTTTTACTAATGCCGAAGCCAGAGCCAGAGATGGCCCGATATCTCCACATCCTGGTGACGCAATGTCCCCACCGGCACCTCTCCTGCATGCCGGGCGCCAGGGAGACTGGGAGATGCATGCTACACTGGCTTGCAACCTTGGGTGCTCAAGGCAAAAGTCTCCACCCCCACCCTAGTACTGACCGGACTGACGAAAGAGTCCATCCATGCTGAGATCCCACAGGAGACCAAAGGCTGCCGAAGAGGTTTCTGGAGGCCATGTTAGCAGCTAGGAGGAGAAAAAACAGGTTGCTGGGTCATTTCTGTGAAGCAACAGCATACAACTTTATCGCTCCACATTCAATTAACCCCAATTAATCCACACAAGTCCGTGTGATACAAGGGTATTGTCATTATTGCCGTTTTACAGAGGAGAAAACCAAGCTCAGAATGGTCAAGCAACTTTCCCAGGGTCACACAGTTAGTAAGCTACAAAGACAGGATTCAATACCAGATCTATGTGACTTGAAACCTCCTACTCTGTCCACCTCCCTATGTGGGAATCTTGTCCTGCCCCTCACTCCCTGTGGTCAGGGTGGTGTCCCTCCAGCGTAGGGGCCAGTATAGGAAAGTCAGCTGGACAACGATGGGCCAGCCCCTCCTTGTGATCCTCCATCATTTCCAGGTCAGGGCCTTAACTTATGGTCATCTGAGACCCTTGGCTCTGGAAGGTCCAGGGTGCAGACTCTCAAACAACCTGGGGTGGGGTGGGGGCGGCAGGTCACCCACTTGACTCAAACTCACTGGGATCCTTACTTGAAGGCTCGAGTCCGAGGGTCGAAGGGACCAACATTCTGCCACCCTGAAGCTGCTCTTTTAGGCATACTGATTTTAAGCTGTTTATTAAGAAGCAAAAGACTCAGAAAGAACCTTTGACCCTCACTCCTTTCCTGCCCAAGAGATGCAGACAAAGAAACCTGCTCCAGGAAGGAGAGCTTAGGACGCTCTCCAAATGCTTAGCCCAACTGAATGGGAAGGATAAACAAGAGGGCTCCAGGCAGGTGCCCGCCAGCTAGATGCCCCGTCCCTGTGTCTGTCACCTGGCAAGGACTGCCTGCCATGCGTGTTCTTCCTCAGCTGCCTGTGAACTGCCCACTCTCCCTTCTGAAATCCAATACCCTCTTCCCACCTTTTCTCTTTTGCCAAAAATGTCTTATATATCCAATGTTGCAACACTGTCTTTGCAATTTTCATGTCTATGTGAATTCCCCAGGAACACGAATTAAGCTTTGATTTTCTCCTGTGAATCTGTCTCTGTTCATCTGATGAGTAGCTCAGCCAGAAGAACTTAGAAGGTGGGAGGGAAGTAGTAATATTTTTAGCCCCTGCAGGGTCACAAGCTGGGGATTTGGACTTTGTGACATGGAGATGACCAATGGGACAGCACCCTCCCCCACAGTGCCACCCAGTCTGCGCACACAGACCGAGGCCTGCTGCCTGAGAGCTGAGAAGAGGGTCCACTACAGTGGACGCCCTGGCAAAGCCCCTCTCAGGCCCGAGGCTCCATCCCCGGGGCTCAGGGCTGTTGTTTGCTGAGGGCCCTGAGCCAGCCCCTCTCTGGACATTACCTTGGTTGGAGGGAGTGCCTTACGAAGGCCATACCCCCTCTCCAAGGGCATCCTTTGTCTGATAACAGGCCTGGGCTGGGGTCCTTTCCTCCACTGGGATAACTCCAAAGGGTCACCCCGGTTCCAGAGCCCCTACAGGACTGGCTGTGACCTCTCTTGCATTTGCTTTGCCTCTGCCCAGGCCTGCTGCTTGCCCTTGCTCCCAGGGGTGGCTGCTGAGAGTGACCCCCCCTCCCCCGCCACCCTTTCCTGGATGTCTGGCTGGAAACCACGTCAGAGTCAGTTTCCTGGGATCTGACCTAAGACGTCAGAACTCTGCCTTCTCCTCCCTTCATAAATTCTCGGAACTTCTTCATAGCTGAGTACTTGATCATTTCCCAACAAGAACAAAACTTTAGAGCGTGTGCTATGTGCTTTGTCCACCTCCCTACCAGGCTCACATGGCAGGTGCACACACTAGGACTCCAGGGACGAGTTTCTGCAAATCATCAGCACTAAGGCCGAAGTCTGTTCACCCAGTGCCCACTATGTGCCCCACTGAAGCCTGGGAGGGGGCGGGCCCTAGTCCCCATGGGACCTCATGGTATCCTTTCCAAAGAAACAGTCGAATGAACGGGTTTGGGGAAATCTGCCCTGCTCACCCGTCCCCAGCTCTGAGTCCACTGCAGGTGTACAGGCGAGCCTTCAGCAGCCCAGTGACCCTGCTCACCTGCTGCCTTTGACTGGATGGGGTGGGGCTGGGGGGGGGGTCACTTAACCCCTCTGAGGCCAAGCAGACTCTCCTTCCTGAGAACTGACTTGGCCATGGAGTCTGCAGAGCAGAGAAAAGCCGAGACCCACCCTAGGATCTGGCCCTTCTCCATCCTGGTTCCTGCTCCTCCTGAGGACCCCACAAACCACCCTGCACCTTTGTAAGAACCCCCCCAGCAGCTCAGGAGCCCCGTGGATTCCTGCCTCTCACAATCAGAGTCCACGTAGCAGGAAGGCTCCGAAGTACGCTGAGCCCATGGCCATTCTGGGCGCGTGCCTGGGACACCCTTGCCCAGCTCTCCCCCAGAGTGCAGCAGCTGCGAATGAGAGGACGCTGCTCTTCTGTGGGCAGGGTACAAGTGGCAAGAAAACCAAAGCCTCAGAAGTGCAGTGGCAGAGTCCATCTGGTGAAGGCCTGCAGTGTGACCACGGCAGCCACATGGCCACCGTGCTGCCCTGCTCCTCCTTCCTCCAGAGACCAAGACGCTAGGCGGAGTCTTGCTCCCAAGGTTCCCAGGGCCAAGTGCACCCTTTCACTGACCGGGCTCAGCTGTGGGGTGGGAAGCTTTTGTGTCTCCTTCCTGAGGGTGGAGAACTAACAGTCCTTCCAGAAGACGCCTGAGCCCTGGGCAGAGCCACGGGGGCCATCAAAACAAGGCAGGTCACAGGACTTCGTTTAACCTTCACATGGCACTATCGGTCTAGTTCACAGGAAACTGAGGCCCAGGGCTGATACTAGACAACTTGGCCAAGGTCACATGGCAGGACGTGGCAGAGGTGGCCTCAGGGCAGGGTCTTCTGCTCTCTGCGCTCCCCCCCTCCCCCCCGGGATGACAGGTGGGACAAGGGACAGGGCAGGGATAGCTCACTCCTCCCAGGCCTGACGGACAGGGAAGGCTGTCCACACTGTGTCAGGGTCACACAAGGAACCTTTGTGGGCGACGTCTCAGACGGGCCCTTTGTGCTTCCCAATGCCCGATTGTGCATTTGGTCGTATACTGTGCGTGGAGCAGAGAAGAATGCCCACACTGTTCCTTGTTACTGGCCCACCAGTCCCACTGGGCTTGGGGGAGGGACAAGGGCAAGAGCCACACACAATAGCCCCAGGCACCAAGGGTGTCTGGGGCAGGGAGGCGCAACGGGAAGGACAGGGCTGGAGGGCTTTTTCTGGAAGGCAGGCAGGCAGCAAAGCCGACTTCCTTCACAACCCACCCTGCGTGCTGGCTCTAATTTACCGCTGGGATCCAGGCTCCAACGAGCAGGAATGAGACTGGTTGGAACTTGTGACCTGCCACCCAGACAGGGATGGTCCTGGGGAGATGCCAAGGCTGGCATCACCATGCCTGGCGTCCAGATCACAGCAGCTGGTTCCTGGGCCATCCCTGCTGGCTTCTTACCCTCCTTCTCAGTGCAGAGGTTTCAGGCCTTGGGCAGAATGTAGCTTAGTCAACACAATGCTCCAGCAGCAACCAGCAGGGAGAAAGGGGCAGACACAGCAGCTGTTCTAGGCTTTCCCAGCTGACCTACAACTCCACAGAGGGAGACAGATGCTCAAACACCTAAGCACCCCCAGCTTGAAATTCACGAGGGCCCCCACATCTCCAGGGCGCTGCGGGGCTGCGCCAGGACCTGTGGCTTGGAGTGCAGATGCACTGGGACACATGGAGGCACCTGTGGAGTGGCAGGGACAGGACCACAGAGAGGCCTTCCCTCTGAGGCACACTCTGCATGATGGGTGGACTGAGACCACAGGCTGGTCCCAGCAGCGCCCTGACTCCGTCTCACGGGTCTTCATCTCTCCTCTGGCCTCAGCTGGGGCAAACCCAGCAGCAGCCCAGACCAGAAGAGGAAAAGGAATGCCCACCCGCAACCAGCCCTACCCTTGGCTCTGCTTGCCCAGCAATCGGCCGGAACGCTCCCGCCACCTAGTGGCCCGCCTGAGGTCCTCACCTGGAACAGCCACTGGAGCAGGGGCAGAGGGCAGGCCAGCGTGTGCAGGTAGAGGTTGCCCAGGAGGCCGCTGCGCAGGAAGGAGAGCTGCTGGGCCAGCGGGGAGCTGCAGAAATAGGGGAGCCGGGTTAGGGGGCTCCACGCCAGCGGCCGGCGGCCTTCCTCAACACACCGGTCTCAGTGAACCGGGTGGGGGATTCCTGTGGTTCAGCCTCACCAGGATGCTACAATCACATCTGTCATTGCTTTGGACAAAGATGCTTGTAGAGCCCTTGATGCAAGCAGCTGTCAAAAGGAAAAACCACTCCCATCATCAGAATCACTCCCCATAAGCACATCTCAGTGTTTTAAAACACCTGACTAGAGAGTATATTTTGTCCTTCCCACTGATCAGAGAAAAACTGAGGCAAGGCTGATTAGAGGATCTGAGGCAGCTGAGGGGAGACTCCAGGAGTCCCACGGCTCAGCTCAGGGCCCTGCTGTGGGGGCCAGAGTTGCTGGCGGGGCCCTACCAGCGTCTGGGCTCTGATTACACAGGGCTTTTCTGCCTGTGCTGTTTCTAAAACAAAGGGGACACCTGAGAAGATGGGAAAATAACAAAAAGGGGCCCGAGATAGGGAAGTTCTAGGACGCAAATCACAAACAAGGGCGCCACAGAGGAGTCTTCAGAACCACGAGCAGCAAGGACCCCTGAGTCCAGGGGGATTGCACTCAGTTGCCACATGCCTGTGGCCGGAGCCTGCACGTCCACTCGTGACAGGATCCTGTGGGCCTCTCCCTAGTCATCCGACTGCTGGCATGGAGAGCAGCCCCGTAAGCCCACTGGTGGCCTGGCTGGTCACGGGCCTCGGGGGCCCAGGGCCCGGTAAAGCAGGAGCTGAAGTAGTCCACGTGGTTGCAGGGCCTCTGCTGAAGGAGCTTCGGAAGTCAGTGTGGAGGGTTGGCTGGACTTCATTCCGGGAGGCTGGGTCTGGGGGAGGAATCTCCCACCCGCTGCATTCTGCGAATGTGCCTTTGCTCTCTTTAGATCGTCCTAAAGGCAATTAATATGGATTCTAGGAAATAGAAACGTAATTTCATGTTTGTTCTTTTTTTTAATGGCCAGACCCATGCAAAGAACATTTCGGACAGCACTTGAAATCATGACTCCAGATAGACATTTCCTCGGTCAGCCCAACCTTCTCCTTTTCATAAACGACATATTTTAGTCTGCTAGGAACAGAATGCTCCAAAACAAAGCTTCTCTAAGCCAAGATGCTGTCTCCTTGAGTATGTCCAGGCAATTTACAAATTGTATACTTTTTTCCAAGTCATTTAAGTTCAGAGGAGAATGCGGGTTTTCCCGTTTGTGAAGTTGACCACTCTAATAGACCTTTATTTGTACATACAAACACGTGTGTGCCCCAGGGCTGCTGGCGCCTCGCTCAGTTCCATGCGCTTGGTCACATGGACACTTTCGTGGGCTGACCTCATGATGCCCGCCTGGTTCAAGCACAGCACACCCTGAATACAGACAATACCCAGGCAAACAATGTCTGGAGGACCTCACAAATTGGCAGAACTTGGCCAGGGGCCATGTGGCAAGGAGGATGGCGCTCCAGGGACTCTGAGACTGTGGAACTCTGCTGGGGGGCATCCCGCCAGTTTCTCGGTGGGGGAACTGACCATACAAGTCCCTTTGGCTCAATCAATGCATTTCCAACTGCTGCTCCAAGGGAGAGACCCCCTTGGTCTGCAGGGCTCCCTTCTGCCATGACCAGGCTGCCTCTCGGTGCACAGCTGCTGAGTTAGGGCTGGTCTATAAGGCCAGCAGCAGGAGACGGCAGAAAAGGTGGCACAGTTGTGCCCTGGAGTGAGCGGCTTTGGGAACTCTGTGCCCAGGGCTGGATGAGATGCATGGGCTCCTGCAGGCTGGTCAAGGGTGCCGCTTCACCCCTTCAGTGGAAGGGACAGGGATGGCACCCAGATCTGGGCAGGAGACAGAGCTGAGAGTCCCTAAGCAGTATCTGGCGGGAAGAGGGACAGGAGAAGGGCAGGAGGTGTGTGCTGAAAGCTCAAAACCTCTGGGTCACAAAATCAGCTGCTGTTCGATTTTCATGTCTACAAATCAAGAACCCGGACGCTGGGTGGCTGAGCCAACACTAAGGTCAGAAATTATGCTGGGATTATCAGAGGACCCTAGAGTGAGAAGGGGAGGGAGCCTCTGTCACAGCAGATGCCAACGGGCCTGGCTGAGCACAAAGCCCCAACTGTCCACCCCGGGGTCCCTGTGAGAGAGGTTCTCACCAGGATGAGGAACAGCCAGTCAGAAAACTGCTGATCCCCAGCCTCATGGGAAGGACAGAGGGCCCAGGAGCTGAGGGAAGGAAGGAGAAATCAGCCAAAAAGGAGAACTGCAGAAAACAAGGGGCCAGCACAGAAGGGACTGGTGGGGACCCACATGTGGGCTCCTGGGCAGAGCTCCGACCTCTGCTCGGACTTCCTGTTCCCGATGATGCCAAGCGTCCTCCAGTCCTTCCCTCCGCCCATCTCACACAGCAGTCCCAGAGGGCAGCTCTTCGTGCTCAGGAATCCCAAGCGATGGTGGAGGGATAAACACCAGTGTAGCTATTTATACAGTATCAGTTTCTGCGCCCTTGCCAAGTTACTCAAATGGAAGTTTAACGGCCTCGGGAGAAGGAAAGCGAATAATGCTCCGAGCGCGCATCCTGCTCTTTTTCTTCCTTTCCTCTGTTACGGTTAAACAACATCACCAGGTCAGAAGTAGAGACCCCAGCGACAACCCTGCCAATGGGCTTTTATTTTCAGGGACAGTCGCCGCCAGTGGGCGGTTCAGTCCTGTGCACACTCCAACTGCTGGGTTTATTTCGCAGGCTTCCCCAGCGTGCCAGGAAGGAGGAGGCCGTGGCAAAGCAGGGCTGGGCCTCAGAGAGACCTGGTGCCCAAGTAGCATTTCGTCCATGAAGCTCAGACCCACCCCCGTTCTCCTGCTGAAATATTCACAGGGGTGGGGGGAGGTCCTGGTCTGCACCCCAGGTGCCCTGGGAACACAAGGCAGCCACCTCACCCACAGGACACCCCCACGCACACTATGGGGCCAGGGGAGCACCCTGGATAATTCAGCAGGCAGTTCCCACCCTTCCCTGGAGCTTCTCCTGTCTCCTGGCCAGGAGCGGGCATGTCCTGAAGCTTTTCCACTCAGGGGATTGGATTTCCTTTTGAACTGCTATCCAGGGAGGAGGAAAAAATTAAGCCCCGCAACCAGCTTTGTCATAAAGGCACGTGACTCTGGTCACACACTGGCTGGGTGATGCACAGGAAGGAATGGCCCGGGGCATCTCCAGTCCCACAGCTGTGGGCTCGGAGCCTGTGCAGGTCCAGTCTCAGGGGACGTGGCCTGGCGCTCAGACACCGGGGCTGCCCGTGCCTGCTCTGCCATCTGAGACAAACAGCTTGCTTACTCTGTGCCAAGGTTTCCTACAGTGAACAGTAGAGAGACAGATAATGCTCCTTTTCACAGAAGGGGGAGAAATAACTCTATTTCTGGAAGTGATTTTTAAAAACTACATTCACTTTTTCTCCCCCTCAAATGATAAAAATGATACATATTCACTATACAAAGTCTGGAAAACAGGAGTTATGACGAGGACACTTGCAATTACCTGTAACACAGTGTTAACTGTGTGACAGGAAATGGAAATACATTGCTTTTCTGAGATCAAGTGATCTATTATCCTTCCTCCATTTTCATGTTTCCGGCTGAACACAACGGAATACTTATTAAAGGACTAGTAATTCCCACTCTTGTGTCTGAACTTGAAGTCCTTGGAAAAAACAGGAAATAAAAGATGACCCCAAGGCTAATTGTGACTCTCAGGAAGCAGCCCTCACCCACTGCACAGCAGGGGCCCTGGGCCCAATGGGGTGCAGGGCATCCCTCCAGAAAGCCCTTCGGAGTTGCAGGCTGGCTCTGTCCGCACCGTGCTTCCTTAGCATGCCTGAGTGGGGAGGGCCTGGATTCCTCCCTCCGAGGGAGCTGGCCAGCCACCTGGCCTCATTTGGCAGGGCCACTCTGATCCAGGTCGCCCTCAATGGGCCATCTCATCTGTCAAACACTCCCTGCGGGCCGTCCAACCCAGGGCAGAAATCCTACTGTTGGCACAAACCATGAGGCTGCTCAGGAAGCCACCTTCCTTTCTCCTGACCTCCCTGCCCCGCTCCTGCCCAGCTGCTCCTTGTCCCCTCCTTTCTCCAGCTCCGCTATCTTCCTTCCTGCCCCTCCCCCATCTCTGTATTAGATACCTTTTCAGTTTGGCAAAGTGGACCTTTACCAATATTCATACACTCGGGCAAACTCACCTCACATCCCATCCCAGGTACAGTCCAGACCCCCAGACAAACATTTATGTAAGAATACCCTCGGCCACAGTCAAACGGAAAGGTGGACAGCGTGTTAGGTGCCAAGACAACATCACTCCTCAGCGCTGCAGTGGCAGCAGCGCTCAGCCCTGCTGACCCTGATATGAGCAACTTTAAAAAAAGTTGATAAGACGATCAAGGAAATCTGAACATTGACCGACACTAAGAAATTACTATATTTTTAGGTGCAATAATAGCACTGATGTAATGTCTAACAACAGAATCCTGTCCTTTAGAGACACAAATTGAGGTATGTACAGATTAAATTATACGTGCAGGGATTTGCCTAAATATAACCCCGAGGGGACGATGCTAGTGGGCAGGATAGAGATGCAACAAGACTGGCTTTGAGTTGATCACTGAAGTTGAGTGATGTGTACATGGAGGTACATTACATGTTTCTCTCTACTTCTATGGATGCTCGAGACTCTCCATGACACTCAGTTTTAAAAGAAACACATCAAAATATTATCTTTCTATTACAAAATAAGGTGGATCTAGAATTAATGGGATAGACACAAGGAAGCCCCAAACAGCTAGAAAAGAGAACCAGATTCCCATGTTGAAGTCCTAACGTGGCTGAAGGGACCACAGAAGCAGCCTGGCCCGTGTGCCATGGGCCGGCCAGGGGCCTGCTCACCAGCCCCTCACCACCGGCACCAGCTCCCAGGGGATGGTGGCCACCCTGTCTCTCTCTCTCCTTCCTCAGTGTACGAACTCACAATTGCAAGTGTTACATGTTACTGTCATAAAGCTTTTTTTTTTAAAGCCCTTAAAAGTAACACAGTCAGTGCTTATGTGGTAACAATCATGAACTTACTTCCAAAGAGAAGAGGAACAAGCTGTCCTAAGATTATACACAGTATGCTAGGGGCTGGGGACAACCTTTCCAGTGTCAGCAGCACACACAGGTTGACGTTCAGGGTCTCGAATGAGCAGGTGGCAGTGACAACGATGTGCTCTGGAGCACTGCTGGGTGGCCCAGGAAGTGGCTCCAGTGTTGGTGGAGACAGCTCCAAAGCACATAGGATAAGTGTGACTGAAGTTGTTGCATGAAACTCAGGTGTGTGGGAGCAAAAGGCAGTATGAGTATGTAAATACACAGTCTAGTATGCTAAAATGTAAGATTAAAAAAATTAAATGTTAGACGGTGTGGCTACTTCATCTAAAAGCTGACACATCCAAATGGGCCCAAACACAGCTTTGGGTGTCCTCCTCTAGGGTGGTCCTAACCAGTGGGCTCCGTGAGGAAGGGGCCTGGTCATGCCGCACACATATTTACCTGAGGAACAGGCCTTCCAGGTGATTACGGGGCTTCAGGTATGAACAGTCAAGGATGCATGGCAGGGGCTGATGCCTGGGTAGAAATATGGTCTCTCCTGGATGTACTGATGGGATGACCTGCAGGGACATGGAGAACCTCTCCACCAGCTTCCTGGCAAAGCAAGGGGGTTTGGGGGAGAGCTGGTCAGCAGGTGCACCTGGTCTGCAGCTGGGGCCTGTGGCCTGCAGCTGAAGCAGGAGGCACAGCGCCATCTGCTGATGGAGGGAGAGCCCCGAGATGCAGACTAAGAAGTCCTTTCCTTTCTACTCTTTGTCGTATACCTGATCCCTCCTTCAGGGCCTCAGTCCAGGAACCAGAGGTCCTGGTGACAACCCCAGCCCCACCCATTGGCTCTTTGTAGATCTAGCGTTCACTGAATGCCCACCATATGCAGGTGTCCGGTGCTGGAGATGAATCAGGTGTGGGCTGCCCTTGCACTTCCCAGTACCCTCCAGCAGGTGGACAGGCCACAGAGACATGGATCAGCCAGGGTCAGGGAGAGCATCCTGGCCACGAAGGAGCCCAGGCTCTTCCTCTGGGCAGCGGTCCTCAAGCTCCATGATCAGGACTTCCCAGGAAGCTGTTAGAATGTCTCACCTGCACTGGGAGTCTGACTGAGTAGACCAGAGCTGGGCCCACGAACAGCAGGAGAGGGTGGAGAGGGGATACAATCCGACTATGTCGGGAGGGTACACGCTGCCAGGACTAGTCAACCCCAAGAAGAGGGAACGAGGAAAGGGAGGCAGTGGGATGGTACCTGGGATCGAGGTAACTGCACCACAAAGTGGGTGGAAGAGCATGAGCACTACCATATGGGTGTAGGTATACACACATTCATAAACACACGCAGTACCCCCCACATATCTGACACATGCAACTGCAGTCTAGGGTCGGCCCTGAGCAATAGGATTTGGGGAACTTCATACAACTGTGTTCTGCTAGATTTTGTAATTAGGTGATATGCATTTAACAACAGTAACAGCAATAAATTAAACCAGCTATGGATACTGCATCCCCTCCCCTAAGCAGAGGACTGCCCACACCCAGGATCCTCGCTAAGACTGAACTCGGGAACTCAGAGGGGGACGGACCTGGGCTCCCATTAGGACCTGGGACACAAGCAGCTGGCAGTGGAGGTGGAGCATCGAGGGGCTGCCCACTGCTGGCCAGGTGAACTGCCTCACTTCCTGCCAGGTGACCCAGTGTCGGGGGGGGGGGGGACCAGAATTATAGGTCCACCCTGAGGATGAAATGGCACCAGAGGGTGATACTGGGGAGATTCTGCGTCTGCAGCCTTCTGGAAGCAGCCTGGGAAACCACCACACAGATGGTAAAGCAATTTTCTGTTTTGCTCACTTCTTTGCCGTTTGAGATGAATTTCTTTGCTGTTTGAATATCTATGGCTTCCAATGTTGCTTTTATAACTTTAAAAAATGTACAAATTATTAAAAGTCTGCAAGAATAGGCTCACCTGTAAAAAGGCCTTAACCTTGTCCCCAAACCACTGTTCAACGGGCCTTTTGTGATATTAACTATAACCTCTGTGTGTCATTCTGAATTCCGAGACGGCCCCGCAGGTCTGAGGACTTCCTGCGCAGCCCAGAACCGAGGATAAAGGGTGATGTTGTGGTTTAAATGTCCTCCCTCCCCCACCTCAACACACACAGGGTCTTTTAACTTGAAGAAATACCAGCCAGCGCTTAGCGTGTGAGCAGACGATCTGCTCAGGATGCTCGGGGGCCTTTCTGAGGGGCAGCTGTGGCAGTTATACAACTCCTGGTCACAGGCGACTTGCCGACCAGTCATGAGCCGCCCCCAGCCTCAGCTCACCCTCTCCAGACTTCCACTCCTCCACGCTCCACACCCTACTCAGGGAGGCGAGAGGCTGCTGGCTTTGCATATCAGAGAGTCATTTTCTTTGAAGCAGAGAGCTGAACTGTCCCATCAAAATGATCCCACATCAAAACCACCACCTCAAAGTGGCTGTTGTCAAAGGCTTTCTCAAAGTCCAGTTTGAAAATGTCACGTGCCCAGAAAATTATCAGTGATTTCAAAGCCTGAAACCCATTCTGTCTTTAGCTGGTTGCCCAGATAACTTCCTTCCTGTGAGGATTTAAAAATATCCAAGCTGTGGCTTCTGGAATCCTGGATGTACACAGCAGACAGGCAGAGAGCTAGAATACTTATTCTTGCTATAAAGATTTTTAAAAGGTTCAATTCCAATGCTGTCTATCCAGTGAGTGGGGAACCTAGAAACCAAATCCACAGGCCCCAACACAGAGAAGCCAGTGCTCTCATCACCACCAAGGCCTTTGGCCCAAGCCTGGAGGTCCCACTAGTTCATGCTCAGCATGCGTGTGCCTGGACGCACTGTGTGACCGCACAGCACCCTTTCCCTGGGGTCTGGGCAGCGTGTGCGCAGTGCTCGGCCTATCTGACCACTTGGCTCTGTGCAGGGAGAGCTGGTCCCAGGCAGGAGGCAGCTCCCGAATCCAGGCCGGGCCTGTGATGCAGTTTCACTGCGGCACAGGCCCCTCACGCCAGTGGCACAACACCGTCCGTGGGTGCTCCACTAACAGCAGAGCAGGTCAGTGCAACAGAGCCCGTGTGCCCATGTAGCCTGGAACATTCCAGTGAGGGTGCGAATCCCTGATCTAGTCCTGAAATGACTATCAGGAAAGTTCCAGAAAAAGGCAAACGACCTGTCATTGTATAGCTCAGAATACTCTGTGGGCAACAATCACATTTGGAGGTCCCAAATGTGGAAGCCCCAAGGAAATCCGTGTGCTTTCTCTCAATGTCCTTCAGTGAGTGAGTGCCAAACGCACACTCCGCCTGTCACCGCTCCGAGCCGGATGACAGCACTCAGACTTACGGAGAAGGCAAAGCCTGGACAGGCAGACAGTGGGGGAGTGTTGGCCAACCCGCAGTCGCCCACCCCCCAGCTCCTCCTGGGCACGAGGAAAGAAGAAATGAAAGAAGGCAGACAGACAGACAGACAGTTCCATCCTGACTCCACTTCCCCCGTCGACTGCTGCCCATTTTCCTCCTTTGCTCTGTGCCTATCTCCTGTGAACCTGTTCCGGTCAGGTCTGCCCACAACCATCTACCAGAGCTCCTCTCGTTAAGGTCAACGTGACCTCATGCTGCACCCTTGGACCTGGGTCTCCTCTCCTGGATACTGACCCCCCCAGTCATCTCATCCAGTTCTGTGGCTTTAAATGTCACTTGTACACAGGAACTCCCGAGCCTGCCTTTCCAGACAAGGCATTCTAGCCGCCTCCTTGATCCTGCCTCTGGGTCCCCCAGAGGAACTCTCGACCCTACCCCATCCCTTAGTCTTACCCTTCTGCTTGCTCAGGCCAAAAGCCTCTGGCCCCTTCATTACTATCCCCCAGCCTCCTCTTGACACAGCAGCAGAGGACCCTTTTCGGGTGAATGGTAGCAACTCCCCGCTCAGCCTCCCTGGTCTCCTCTCCTCCATCTGCCTCCTCTGCCTGCTCCCCCAACACACCAGAAGGACTCTGGTCTGGGGGTGGGGTGGGGGTGGGCCCAGAGCTTCCTCTCACTTCTTTCAGGGCTCTGCTTAAAAGTCATCTGCTTATGAGGTCTTCCCTGACCCCTCATCCAAAATCTCCCAACCCTCCCACAGTCCTGATGCCCACTCCCCAGTTTATCCTTTCTCATTAGCACTTGTCCCATGACTTCACTTAGCTGGTTCATCGCGCGTCTCCCTGCCCCAAAAACAAGTTATATGAGGGCAGAGATGTCTGTCTGACCTTGCTCCTGTTGTATCCCCAGGGTCTGTAACAGAACCTGGCACCTAGATGTCTGTTGGATGGATGGATGGATGAATGGATGAAAAGATGGACAGATACATGGATGACAGATAACAGGGTGCCCTGAAGGTGGTCCTTGGGCATCTCTGAGACTCTGGCAGAGACGAGTCCACCCTCCTCCCCTCAGTGGGCCAGCAGACTCCGCCTGTATGACAGCATGGAAAGCTGCTACCTTCTTTCCCCAGACCGGGGACAGTGCACAATGTCACATGGCTGCTTTCTCCCCTTAAAGGCAGTTTTCATTTAGGCTGAGGTTTTGTGTAGTTACTATCTCAAGAGATTGAGTTCTATAAATGCGGGCAGTTGGGGCAGAGCAGGCCATGTTTTGTATCTATGCCCTCAAAAGCCCACACTAGATCCTGACACACATTTGGTGAATAAAAATTTCTCAATTCAATGAATGAATGTGGGCTTAAGGGAAGGAAGCAACCTGAGGATCACTGGCTGAAACTGTCCAAAACCCAGAGTGTGATGGACTAACTCCTTCACAGAGAGGTGGGTACAGGGGTCCTTCCCGCCTCATTCCCTCCCCACGTGCCTGCCCACCCTCCTGTACTCTCCCCAGTGCCCCTTTGTGCCCCTGGGTGCCCACCCCCACCTACGACCCCTCCTGTCCCCCCTTCCCATGTCTACTCCCCACCACCTGTGCTCTGGTGTGAGAGGCATGTCCTTCTCATCGAGATCCAAGGAATCAAGATCAGGACAGTCCTGCACAGGCAGCTTCTCCGGCTCCTGCTCCAGCTCCTGCTCTAGGGCCTGTTCCCTGCAGGGAGACAAGGGCCAATAACAGGGGTTGGTGCTGTTTCTGGAGGGTCATCCAGCCTTGTCACTGGGCTGCAGGAACCCCAAGAACATGGTGAGGCCTAGGAGGAAGAGAGCAGGCAGCTGCACTGCTGGCCTCAAACACGTCTACTTGGGGTGAGGAGGCTGCACTGCATTGATTGCATTATCTCTGAACACGCACAGAGGAGCAGACAGGCCTAAAAAACATGGTTTTCACCCGGGCTGGTGTAGCTCAGTTGGCTGGAGCATGGTCCCACACATACCCAACTCCCCTGCTTCTCCAAACCAGCAGGAATTGGGCAGAACAGAGTCAAGATAGAAAGAGGAGCTGGGACAAGGGCTCTGTACGTGGCAGGGGTCTGGGGCTCTCTGCTTAGCCGTGCTCCCCTTTGACTGGCTGGTGTTCCTCTTATTTGTTATTAATTCGAGCATCCAGGGCAGTCCAGGGGGCACACTGTGGGGGGAGGTAGGCTGCATTATCCTGAGAGGCATTTACTGTGAGTCAGAGGAAGACCCCTGTGAAATTACTGCAAACCCCACAGAAATGAACATTCCGTGATGAACCCTCTTTTGCACTCACCTCTTCTCCTGTAGTAAGTAATCTAAGCTGTTGACATAGCTTTCTGAGCCCTCGGAGGTGAACTGGAGAAACAGGGCATGGGGATGGGGAAGAAACAGAAGGACAAAGTAGAGGGGAAACAGAATAAAAAAGATTATTGGAGGGAGGGGCTGCTGCCTCTCCCCAGAGCCCTGGGAAGGAGCAATATGGCCACCGTCCTGCGTGGCTGCAACTCAGCGAAAGCTCTGAGCACCCTCCAAATCCCAAGTGTCCCCACACAGTTCCAGTCCAGTCCGCTCTCCCTCTGCCCGAGCCCAAGGAAATGTGCAATAAGCCAGAAGCATCACATTTGACAGTAAAGAACACAAAGTGATGGTCACTGGATCTGAACAGAAAGAGGAATGATGCCTGGACACTATGAAGACTCTTCACTTCCACTGATGGAAAATAAATAAATACAGAACTTCTCTGTCTGCTATGCTAAATCTTCATCAATAAACAACTGGGAAAAAAAATTATTATTATTTTTATCCTCACCCGAGGACATTTTTGCACTTATCTTCAGATAGAGGGGGAGGAAGAGAGGAGGGAAGAGAGAGAGAAAAACATCGATGTGAGAGAGACACATTGACTGGTTGCCACTCGCATGACCTCAACTGGGGTTGGGGACAAACTGCAACTGAGGTACGTGCCCTTAGCGGGAACCGAACCTGGGACTCTCTGGTCCGTGGGCCAATGCTCTAAACGCTGGGCCAAACTGCCAGGGCAAATAAAATTAAATTTAAATTAAGCCCTTTATTTTGTTTATTTTTTTGAATACACAATCCATCCACATGACTGAAAAATCAAGAGCATGAGGCATTCAGTACCCCCGGCGTGCTGCCAGAGCGGCTGCCCACAGACAGCAAGCAGCACGCGGTGCAGAGCCCTCCCAGCACGAAGGGCAGCACGCCATGCGGCCATCCTGCATCTGCCCTTTGCACTAGCAATATGTCTTGAGGGTCATTCCATATCAATACCACAGCAATAACTTTAAACATACTTTCAGGGTGCTCCGATGTGTGATTAGAACCTAGCTGATCGGTTCCCCAGGGTGGCCCTTTCAGGGACTGGCAATCTTGGGCTTTCACAGACAACTGAAGCCCTATTCCTAGAATCCATTTCCTGACATGTCTGCCTAGCAACAGCAGTTTCCCCGCCGCGTGAAGTTCATCACAGAAGTGTCCATTCAGGACTCGAGATCCACTGGGCCAGTCAGCCTGAGTCTCTGTGCCTGACTAGCCTGACCCGGCTCCAAGGTCCTTCCTTCTGCAGGGCCACATCCCACCATGGCTGCGAAAGCCCTGAAGGACCCATGCAGGGGGCCCCCTGCCAAGCCATCCCTTAGCAAGAAATAGGAGTGGAAAGAAAGGGTGAGGGCACCCCAGCCTTTGCTGTGGGAGATGGCGGCTGAGGAGGGTGGATCCAACGGAGGTGGTCAAAGGAGGACAGTTGGGTATGGACAAGGAGTGCCCTGGGGTGGTGGAGGAGGGCTGGCTTACCATGGTGCTGGGGCTCCCCGCTGGAGCCGCAGCCTGCCGGCTTGGGCCTGCCGCGCTCCTGAACAGCTCCTCCAGCGAGGCCAGGTCCTCCTTGGGGTCTGAGGCCTGGGGCTTCTGCTCTAACTCCATGGGCACCCAGCAGGCCAGTCTCCTCAGGCCCCGAGGCCCCACTGTGCCCACCCTCCTGCCAGCTTGCAGTGCCCTTGGGGTCAGGAACTTGAAGTGCGGTGGGCTCCAGTCGGTGGGGAACGTGTCCCCTGTGGCCTGCATCTTGGGCTTCTTTGACAACTTGGGGGTTGGAGCTGAGGTGGGGCTGCAGAGGCGCCGGGTGGGCCGGCAGATGCCCTGGTGCAGGAGATGGTCAAAGCCACTGTGCCGCAGGTCAGACAGAAGGATGGGGACGGCGGCAGCTGCCTGGACCCCTGTAGACAGGATGAGTGCTGCAGTGTCCACACCCGACTGCCACCACCCTGCCATGCTAGGTGAGGAGAGGGGGTTGAGTGGGCAAGATGCAAGGGGAGCCCTGGCCAGTGCAGCTCAGTTAGCTGAGCGTTGTCCCCCACTGTCCTATGCACCAGCAGCAGGTGTGCAGGAGGCAGCCAATCGGTGTTTCTCTTTCCCTCTCCCTCCCTCACTCTCTCAAATCAGTATAAACGTATTTTTAAAAAGATGCAGGGGGAAACCTCAGCCATGGATTTTCTACGCCCTTGTGGCCCCAAACCTCAGGAGGGCTCTCGTCTGCAGGTGAGAGACACCCACCTTCTGTCTGAGGAAAGGCTGGCACGGTCTTCTGGGACTTGGCCATCTGAACGCTTCCGGGAGTTCTGTCCTGGGAGGAACAGCCTACCTGTGAGGTGAGGTGAGCCTTCAGAAGAAAGCTCAGGTTCCGGGGGGCCCAGGTTCCCAGAGAGGATGGCCTGGCCCACTGGTACCCAGAAGGAATCCCCCTCCAGCTCCACCTAGGGACCTAGCACGGGCACCACCAAGATCAAGTTGCTGAGGTGATGGGGGTGCGAGCTGACCTCTAATTTCAAGGACATGATGGGCAAGTGTAAGGACATCAACACTTTAAAAACTTGTATAGCCCTGGCTGGTTTGGATCAGTGGTTAGTGTCGGTCTGTGGACCAAAGAGGGCATGTACCTCAGTTGCGGCTCATCCCCAGCCCTGGTTGGGGTCGTGCCAGAGGCAACTAGTCAGTGTGTCTCTCTCATGTCAATGTTTCTCTCCTTCTCTCTCCCTCACTCCCTCCCATTCTATCTGAAGATAAACAGAAAAATATCGAGTGAGGATTTAAAAAATAAAAATAAATAAATAAATACAAACTTGCATAAATTTAAAACTAGCATGGCTCAGCACCAAAATCATGTTGTGAGATGACATCCTGAGCATCTTCTTGTTTGATGTCACCCCTATACAGCTGTTTGCTCACAAGGGGTGGGGCACAGCTGTCCCAGCACCAGCACAGGCCTGGCACTCAGTAGGGCTCAGTGCATCTCCGCTGAATGAATGAATGATTTACATAGACCCTGGGTCTGGTCCAATAAGCCTCCTCCAGTGTTAGGGGCTGCCTGTCCCAGCTACAATGGCCCAAGCCCCTTCCACAGACATCTCTTGTCATATCAAGCCCAGGCTCCAGTAAACAAAAATGCAGGTGAAAGCTAACACCTGCACAAGCTAGAGTCCAAAAAAACAAACAGAAAAACAAACACTAACTCAGCAAGGGTTCAAACTCAAAAATACTGAAATAATTGAAATCAATATGACTATGAAGTATTATTCAATAATTAAAAATGTATATATAATAAATGTTGACATCGCTGAGAGGACATGCATGGCTGTTAGCACTGTAAATGGATTATTCTTTTTAGTAGGCAATCTAGCAATATAAAAATAACTGTAAAAATGTCCATACCTGAGAGTAGGGAAGCCCCCAAAATCTGTCCCTTTACAAAAGCAACAATTAAGCTGGCAAAAACTGTCAGAAGAAACATGTACAGAACTTTGGAATCTAATAAAAAACTAACAATAGCCCTGGCCGGTTTGGCTCAGCGGTTAGAGCATCGGCCTGCGGTCCTGAGAGACCCGGGTTCGGTTCCCGCTAAGGGCGCGTACCTCGGTTGCAGTTTGTCCCCAGCCCTGGTCGGTTGTGCGGGTGGCAGCCACTCGATGTGTTCCTTTCACATCGATGTTTCTCTCTCTCTCTCTGTTCCTCTTTCTCCCTCCCACTCTGCCTGAACAAAAAATGGAAAAATGTCCTCGGGTGAGGATAAAAAAAAAAACACAAAAAAAACTAACAATAACCAGGGGAATGTTTAATGAAGAAAGAAGCTGCTAAACTTCAGTAAGCTTGCCCTGGCTTTTGAATGTGCTTGCCTGTCACCCTAGCTCAGAGGTGGCCCTGGGGACGTTGTTCCTGGTATGGTTTTCTGGAGCTGGGGTGGGGAGAGGGAGGGGGGCAATACAAACGTTGTTCTTAAAGGATTGTTGGTGTGTGTTTTGACCTGTCTAGTGGCTCCCTGACGGATCAGCTCAGGGCTGGAGTGACCTCCCGGGCAACACTTGTCAAAGGGGTTTGAAGACAAATCTACTAGCCACAGCCAGCTGGGCTAACAGGTGGAACAAGGAGCAGACACTGAACAGCCTGAAAAGGAAGAGGCTGAGGAAGGAGACACATGGAGGAATGAGGTTTTGGAAGACTGCCACATAAACCAGAGAGACTAGGCCACATGTGTGCCCAGGGCTAACGCATGCTCAGGAAAGACCTACTAAGACCATAAGCATTCACTCCTGGCCAATAGTCAGGCTCCACGTAATCTGGAGGTGAAGGCTAAGGCAGAGTTGCCAGAGGCCTAGCTGAGTGTTGAAGGGGAACTCCAGCACAGAGCCAATCTGGAAAGACCAGGAGAGTTGTGTGGGAGTTTTGTTGTTGCCATTGTTGTTTTGGTTCTAGGCATTTAAGGAAATCTCTATAAAATCACCAGTTGACCTTTATGCTAAGGGAACAGTGACTTCAGTGACCACACACAACAAAATAGTAATATAGTCTTTACATAGCAAAGTTTATAAAAGTCATTAAACAAACAAACAAACAACTACAATGCACAACAAGCAGCAAACCCTGGGGAGGGGAGAATGTTATTTATAGAGTTACTGCGTTAGAATATTTAAAATGTCCAATTTTCAACAAAAACTGCAAGACATGAAAAAAACAAGAAAGTATGTTCAGTCATCGGGGAAAAAATGAAAAATATGTCCCTGAGGAATTAATTTGAGACAAAAACACTATTTTATTTATCTTTTTTCCTTTATTGATTTTAGAGAGAGAAATAGAAACATCAATGTAAGAGAACATCAATTGGCTTCCTGCATGCCCCCCAGTGGGAATCGGGCTCTCAACCTGGGCACATGTCTTGAAAAGGAATCGAAATGGCGACCTCTTGGTGCATGGGTCTGATGCTCAACCACTGAGCCATACCGGCTGGACTGAGACGAAAACTTTAGATCAACTATCTTAAATATGCTCTAAGAGCTAAAGGAAATGATGGACATAAAAATAAAAAATAAAAAATAAACTAAAAGAAACCAGGAGAAGGACATCTCACCAGGTAGAGAATATCAATAAAGATAGAAAAATTATAAAAAGGAACCAAATAGAAATTCTGGAGTTGAAAAGTACAAAAACTGGAATGAACTCTAACTACAAGGTTTCAACACCACATGTGAGCAGGCAGAAGAAAGAATCAGTGAACTTTCAGATAGGTAAATTGAGATGATCAACTCTGAGGAACAAAATGAAAAAGAAATGAAGAAAATAAACAGAACCTCAGAGAACAGTAGGACACCACCAAACATATCAACATATGCAAAACAGGAGTCCCAGGAGCTGAGAGAGAGAGAGAAACAGAGATAGGAGAGAAAAGGAGAGGGAGGGAGGAGGAGGACGAGGAGAGAGGGAGAGAAGAGAAAGAGAGAGGAAAGAACATTATATTTCCAAGAAGCTTAACAAACTCCAAGTAGAATAAACTCAAAGAGATACATACATATATATTATAATCAAACTCAGAAATCGGTAAAAGAGCCCCGGCTAGTGTAGCTCAGTTGGTTGGAGCGTTGTCACGTATACCAAGGGGTGGCAGGTTCCATTCCTGGAAAGGGTACATACACAGGTTGCGGGTTTGATCCCCAGTTGGGGCACAACCAATCAATGTTTCTCTCACATTCATCTTTCTCCCCACTCCCCTTCCTTTCTCTAAAATCAATTAAAATTTTATTTTAAATCAATAACAGAATCTTAAAATCAGGAAGAGAAAAAATTTATCACCTACAAGGGATTCTCATCTAAAATTAATGTCTGATTTCTCATCAGACACCATGGAGATTACTAGGTACTGGATAAAGCATTCAAAGTGCTGAAAGAAAAGACTATGAACCAAGAATGCTATATCTAACAAAAGTATGCTTCAAAAAAGTAGAAATTAAGATATTCCTAGATAAACAAAAATTGAGAAAATTAATTGCTAACGAATCTGTCATACCAGAAATACTAAAGAAAGTCCTTCAGGCTAAAGTGAAAGAATATTAGAGAGTAACTTGAATCACACAGAGAAAAAAGAACACTGATAAAGATAACTACATGAGTGTAAGTAAAAGACAGTATAAATGCATTTTTTCACCCTGGCCAGTTTGGCTCAGTGGTTAGAGTGTTGGCCCCCAGGTTGAAGAGTTGTGGGTTTGATTCCAGTCAAGGGCACATACTTCAGTTGCGGTTCATCCCTGGCCCGGGTCGGGGTCATGCTGGAGGCAGCCAATGTGTCTCTCTCACATCAATGTCTCTCTCTCTCCCTCCCACTCTGTTTGAAAATAAAAAATATCCTTGGGTAAGAATTTAAAAATAAATAAATAATTTTATTTTTTCTTTGTTAACTCTTTTTCTCCTATCTGACTTAAAATATAACTGCATAGAACAATCATTGTAAATCTTATATTGATGGGTGCACAACGTATAAACATATAATTTATATGACAATAACATAGAAAGGGAGGGAACAGAGCTTTTTAGATGCAAAGCTTTTGTATCCTATTGAAATTAAATTGGTATTATTCTGAACTAGACTATGAACGATGTGATATTTATAGGTAAATAACAATGCAAGCATTACTGTATTTTGGTTTATAACTTTTACCTATGTAATTTAAAAGACAAATGCATAAAACAATAATTATATATCTATGTTAATAAACACAATGTTTAAAGATGTAATTTGTGACAATAAAAACATGAAGGGGAGGGATGGAGCTGTATAGAAGCAGAGTTTTATACACTTTGAAGCTAAGTTGATATTAATTCAAACTAGTTTGCTATAAATTTAAAACATAAAGTATAATCTGCAGGGTAGCCATTAATAAAATAACTAAATATATAGAGAAAAGGAAATGAGGAGGGAATCAAAGTGATGCAGTACAAAATATTAATTAAACACAAAATAAGGGCAGTAATAGAATAACTGAGGAACAAAAAGACCTAAGATATATTCTGGAAGCAAATAGGAAAATAGAAGACATCTTTCCTTATCAGTAATTAGTTTAAATAAAAATGGATTAAACTCTCAAATTGAAAGACAGATTTTGGTAAAATGGGTGAAAAAAACATGATCCAGCCCTGGCCCATTTTGCTCAATGGTTAGAACATTGGCCAGCAGACCAAAGGGTCATGGGTTTGATTCCTAGTCAAGGGCACATACCTGGGTTGCAGGTTTGATCCCTAGCCTTAGTTGGGGTTGTGCAGGAGGCAACCAAATCGAAG